ATTTCATTTGGATTCTGGTGGGAAAACGGATGGGGAATTGACAGTAAAGATCTCAAACATAAAATAACTCTGGTTACAAAATAAAGGAACGTTACATTATACTTTGTTCCCTGATTAATTATTCACTACATGAAATAGTGTAATGCATTTTTGTTTGCATCATTTACAGATTATTTATTTTATTTAAATGCTGTCCAAAGCTGAACAGGATTTTGCTCTTTTTAAGGGAAACTGGTTCAGATTCACAATACATGTAAAGAAAACCACAAAAAATACCACTAGTGGATTCCAATGATTTTTTTGTTTGAATCTTTCACAGAAATCATCAGTTATGATGATTGTTGTTGTTTATTATTACCATTGGTACAGAATTTACTCAGTATGATAATTTAATTTTAGCTTTTAAATTATAATCATAAATTACTTGTAATAAGTAGAGTGATTAAAAAATACAAACTTCTTAATATTTTTACCATTTACAAAATTTAATCATAAAAAAAGTATTTCTAATGCTGGTACAAAATTTACTCATTATAATTTAATTTGATTTCCTTCACTTTGAAATATTTTTTTCTCTTAATAACAGAATCTAAGAAACTAAAGTAACATATACTAGTTTGAAATGCATTTGTTAACCTTTTGTAAATTTAAAATATCAGGTAAATACTAATATAATATAAATATTAACTAACTACTCAAAATATTAATGTTTAATACATTAATATTATATTTTATAATTTAAAATATTAAACTTTTGTAAATTTCATTACTCATAACATAATCATAATCACTGCCATAAATTTATTTATGGTAGTGTTCCAAGAATTTATCAAAGCAGTAGTAGAAATGATGAAAATTGGAGAAATTGTTTGTTCTGATTAAGAGCTTATTTTTTAGAATTGTTATTTAGTCTAGATCGGGTTTTGTTGACAATCCGCCATTTTTTTCTGATCTTCAAAGCCGGGTCTAATCCAAAAATCGCCAAAAGGACCAATACTAAAGCTGTTTCGGCCTTTTTTCGTATAACTTTGGGTTTGTTCATTAAATTTTGTTTGCGAGATGTGAAGAAATGGTGAGTGAAATGCGTGCAAAGACATAATTCTTGTAATGGTTAAGGAAATCATTTCTATTCTATATGCAAATGTGCATTACCATTTTGAGCAAAATGTTTGTATAGCATCGGTGGTTCAGTGGTAGAATGCTCGCCTGCCACGCGGGCGGCCCGGGTTCGATTCCCGGCCGATGCAGGGGTACTTTTTTGGTCAGGAAATTTATTATGATTGAAATGAATTAAATAAATCTTTAAAGCTGCGTCTATTTGTGTGGATGCATTTACAGATAGAAAATTAACTTTTGAGTGAATGGAAACTTTATTTTGCTGAATGCGGGTACTGAAAAGAAAAAAAAAAAAAATCATGTATGAAAAATGTTCATATAAATTTATAAAAGTAAAAGAAAGATTAATAATGATAAATAAAGATTTCAATAGGATTTTCCGAGACGTGAGTGATGTCAAGGGTTCCTAAAGCATACGATGTTCTTGAAAAATCTGCTTGAAAGAATTTTCAGCAATATTTAGCTGGCTATAATAATGATGATGTAAGATTATATTTATTAAAATTTAAATACATGTAATTTTGTGATCATTTAGGAATTACTTAGAAAACTACCCAAAATGTTACTTGCATATTATAACGTAATTGTGCTAAATAAGAACGGTTTGGCATAGGTGTTTTCAACCTTTTTTGCCCTGTGCATCCCTTTTATCACTGCTAGAAGTTCACCCCCCTTCCTGTTACTTTTTAACGTTTTTTATTAATTAAACAACTAAAAGTATAGAACATGTTGATAAATGATAAATCTTAAATAAAGGTTATTTGCTTCATATTCATAAGCTAAATAGCGAACAGCTAAATAAAAGCTTTACTGCATTTTTCCGTGAAACTGGCAAATTCCTTCCTTGTTTAGGAACTTTCACCAATTTTTCTTTCGCTAGTGGTGCCATCTACTGGTAATTGTTTGAGTTTATTGCAATTAGTGTTGAAAGCTCAAATTCATCGCAGAATGGTGTTATACTTTTATTATATTTTAAAGATGTTAATACGTAGTAGATAGAAATTTTCGTTTCCTTTTAAAGGAGATATTTTTATTTAGTAAGAAAACAAGAAATGAGTTAAAAAGTTATCCTACTTAATTTACTATTACTGCAAGCAGCTGATGTCTGATACTAACTTTACAAACTTTAGATATTCTGAATTGTATTTATTAGAAATATTTACTTTAATTTAAAAGTAATTTTAAGCATACATTTATTTATTTAAATTATTCATAAAGTAAGAAGTTAGCAGTTGGATGGAGGACATACTATGCTATTTCAGAAAAATGTTCAATACTTGTTGATCAATTTTCCTGTACAAAAGAATAATTTACTATTCCATATTAATTATATGATATAAAATTTATATATCTGTTTTAAATACATAAGAGAAAAAGAAACATTACTAAAAGAGATTTGATTTTAGGAATAGAATAAGTTTTTTTCTTTCCTTCTTATTAGCTCAAAGAGGCAATTTGCCCAGAGGGGCTATTAATTACGTTTTGGCGCTTTACGTTTAAATTAAAGTTAAGAGATACTAGTGATTTTGGTACACTTCTTAAATATTCGACTACATGTATAAGACGACTGCGGCTTTCAGAAAGGCATTTTTAAAGCAAAAGAAACACGTCAAATAAATTCAAGTCTCTTTAATTTATTTGGCTTGAGGTTGCAGCTAATCAGAAAGTACCGAAATATCTTCTTCAGTCAATAAAAATTTCTAAATGACGTTAATGACGTTATGGTCTAATCGCATTTTCTTTCTTTCTTTCTTTCTTTTTTTTTTTTTTTTTTTTTTTTTTAATCTTTTAGGTAAGTCATAAATGGTTTTCAAAAGACATATCTACTTCAGCAGTAGAGTTATTTTTAACTTTTAGAATAATTCGTAAACTAATTTTAAGTATTTATTAGTCCAAAGGGTCTTCGTCCCTGAGAAACTATTGTTTTCGCTTGAATCGTCAAACGAATGGAATCCTTCTGAATGTATGTTTCACTTTTCAAACTGTTGCCACCAAATGTTATCGCCCTGTATTAGATATGAAGAAATTAAATAATGAAGAATCTGCATAAATGTATGTATGTTTCTCGCATTACGATAAAACAACGGTACATAAAGCCATCCAGTTTTGAATGACGTAATCCAACTGCGAATATGGGCATCTGGAAGCCCAAATTTGAAATTTGTTATATTTATCGATTCCATATAAGGATTTCAAAGGGAGCAATGTCAAAGTTGTACAGAAAAAACATTTTATCCCCAGCGCGTGAAACTGTGTATCGAAAATTCTAAAGATATACTCAATTATACATTATTTTGAAATAATATTGCTCTTGAACTGAATTTTATGGTTTAAGTGCGAAGAACATGATATTTATTAAATGAAGGTAACGCCCCTTTGGACGTAATTTAAAATCTGAAACCTTTCAGATTTTCTTTTTATTATTATTATTATCTGAATATCATTAAAAACGCAGATTTTATATTCTTTTCTTCTTTTTTTATTTCTTTTCACAGATACTGTATTATTTTACAATCCGACAGAGAATACGTGCATCGGTGATAATTCGCCAATGCACTCAGAGACAAGAAAGAGGCAATGTTGTTATTGCATCATTGCTTGCTTCTTGTCTCTGAGCCCCATCGTATTTATGTGCTTCATCCTTTTTGTTTTGAAAATATGTTATGTTTGAGAATTTCAGACTCTGATTATGACTATAGTGGTGGTGTGGTGTTGGTGTATTTGATTCTGATGTTTTAAAATTACTTTGTGATATTGCTGTTGGATTGAATTTTATGGGTTAAGTGCGAAGAACATGATATCTAATAAATAAAGGAAGCACAGAAAATATTTAAAAAAAAAGCCTTTTTGGGCGTAATATAAAAAAAAAACTTTTAGATTTTTTAGCTTTATTATTCAGCATAATTTTCTTCGCCGTATACAATTCAAATTATGCCGTATACAATTCAACAGCAAATTACAAAAATTTTGAAAGCAGCATAGAAGTATACGTTAACAATTCCCTATGCAGCGTTAAGTATTGCCAGATATTTTTCTGTTCACCTGTTTCTGTTTTTTCAGTTTTCAGACAATTTTCTCAGTTCATAATATCAATATTCAGTTCTCTTACAGTTCAGTTTAGTTCAGGCTTTACAAAACTTGTTTGTCCTTTTATTATTAATGTTTTCTGTGTCAACTTTATTTGTTAATAATCACGTTCTTGACGCTTACGCCACATAAAATTCGATTCAACAGCATAATCACAAAATGCTTAAAAATGACGCATTTTTAGAATTTACAATAGACAGCCTCGCACGTTGGGATTAAAAATGCTTTAATCCGTACAGTGTTGCCACTGCTCGTTTTCAAATCGTTGAGTTTGATAGTCGAAAATTCGTTAAAGATTTCAAAATATGAAATGGGTTATAAAAACCAATTCGTTATTCAAAATTCGGGCTTCCAGGGGCCCATGTTCGGGTGGAGGATTACGTTATTCAAAATTTGATGGTTCTAGGTAACGTTGTTTTCTTTCATAATGCGAGAAACATGCGTGCATTCATTCAGATTCTTCGTTATTTAATTTTTTTAAATGTAATACAGGGCGATAATATTTGGTGGCCTACAATTTGAAAAGTGATACGCCGTTTATAATGATTCAGCGCAAAATGCCGCTTCGAGACTAATATCCCATTCGGACTACGTACCTTTTGGGCTAATAAATTTTTTGCAACTGAGAGCAAAATCCGGCACATTCTTGGCCCCATGTATTGTGTATGGAAGTAACTTGAACAGAATCTTTTGGTTTTTGTGCAGGAGAGCACTGAATTTTTTCCTTTTATAGCTTTTTATTTAATTATTTATTTATTTAATATTAGGGAAATTAAAGAACATACAAAATTCTTGCAAACATTTTATTGCAGAAAATAATTCATAAATACTATATTCTCGATAGCAGACAGAAGTAAATCTGAAGAATATTTAAATTAAAAATGTTACAATAATGTAGCAGTGCTTTCGAAATGGACATTTGTTTACCTCGAAAGAAAATTATTTCAGTGATAATAGCTAACATTTCGAATCTATGAAAAATACCTTATCGTCTTCTTTGGCATCGAAGTTCCAAAGATATGAAAAAAATAAAAACCTTCATGAAGAAATATAATAAAAATATAATAACTTATTCATAATATTCTGTTTGAAAATAAATTATCGTATTTTTCACAGATTTAATTAATAATCTGAGTGATATGCTTCTTCTTGCTCATTCGAATATCGTTCAAACAATGATAACGATTCTTCTGAGTCTGTTAAGAAAGAAGAAAAAACACTGTCAGAAAAAGATGAGGCATTACAATTCATAATGAAATTAAAATATAACAATTGTTGTGAAATCTCCTATGAACTACATCGTATATCTTTAACAGTGTAACGCAGGGCTTAATTTCAAAAAATAGAAGTACTGGAGCTCTATAGAAGACATTTAAGAAAGAGGATCAAGAATAAATAAAAGAATGAAGTGACTAATAAAATCATTAACAATTACAAAATTAAATAATTCATTAATAAAATAATTAAATAATTAATGGTTAAAGTAATTAAATAATTAAAATTTAATAAAATGCAAAGTGATAAATTAGAATTTAATAAGCAATTTTTAATATAATTTTATTACTAAAAATAAAGTTTTGAAGATCAAATTTCTACTGAAATTATTGTTCACCTACATAAAACAAGTGCCGGAGGCTTCTTATTTAGGGCTCCGATGCGATCCGGCTAAAATTATGAATTATCCCCAAAGCTAAGAAAACCGCCGGAGCCCACCGGAGGCGGCGCAATTTAAGCCCTGGCCTAACGCAAAATAATAAATGGCGATTTTTGTATCCGCGACTACCATACTGGCTACATATCAAAGGTTTCAAGCTTAGTAGTAGTTCTACCAAAACACAAGCAAAAATTTAATTATTTCAGACAAATATATTTGGTGATAATTAGCATTTTTAAGTGTGAAAACTTGTTCTAAGTTGTTTAAATTTCTAACGGATTTTAGTTAAGTACTTATGGATTTAAAATCATTATTAATTTTAATTTTTCAGCATGAAAATTTGGAATTTATTGTTTCCTAAAGAAAGAGTTGCAAACAAAAGGAATTATGCTGTCTTATGACAAGCGGTAAAAATAATCTCAACTGAATAAAACAAAGTTCACAAAAACTTTTATTTCTTTTATGGAATTCGATGGTGGTGCGAGGTATCATTGCTTCCTAAGAGGAAAAAAAAAGCACAACAGCTGTTCACGGTTTAGTTCTTTGAAAACCGAAGCCTTCACTAACTTGCATGCTTGAAATAGAGCAGTTTCCTTTCCTCCCCCATCCATTAACGCACAAAGAGGTGTGAAGATTTAAAATGACATCCTTTCTACATCCTAATAAATAAAGATAAGAAACCTCAAATAAATCTTTTTTAGGATAAGCTGTCTGCAATAAACTGATACAATGTATTTTGGGAAACTTCACTTGCTACAGCATAAACCCTAGGGAGAGGGAAAAAAAGACATTGCAATTTCAGCCGTTTCGGGCGGTTGTGGTTGTTTAAATAAAGGGCCGTCTAAGACGTTTTGGTCTTCAAAGAGTTAAATCATCTTGATTCTCTTTCCTCGTGGTTCTGAAATTTACACATTCTTGAGAATTCTTGATGGTCGGTAAACCGTGGTTCCCGAGCTATACGGCTCTGGGAGGAATCGATTTCTACTATGTCCATCGGTTCAAGGAGGTCAGAATAAATGGAGTAATCGTCGCCTGTATCTCCGGTACATTGAAAATGAAGCCATGAAACGTGACGGTATGACGTCACGACTTATCAGCCATAGTTGGACATCTGGTTCGTTTTGTTTACTTTTTAATCAGTGTTGTCAACAAGTTTGCTATTCATTATTTCCCGTTCTAAATTTAATATTCAACGTAAATGATTTTCTACTTAGTATATAGAAAAATCATAAGGATTGCAGATAACTGTTTCAAACTGAATAAAATATAGATACATGAAAATGTATAAACGATAATTATAAGACTGATGAATACATGACGAAATCGAGGAGACTAGTGAAAGTTTCAATGGTATTTTATGCAAATTATGCCTAAAGAGACCTCTCTGAGCTTGCAGACGTCGATATTTGCTCTCAGAGTAAGTATAATTTTATTTAATTGTATGTTTCGTAGTTTTATCAGTACACTGTACAGCGTCCATGATAAAAGGTGACGTCACTTTGCTGACATTTCCTTGGTTTCACTTAAAAGACGTCGTGCTTACACCATCTCTCCTAACGTCCGTGGTCGGGTTAACGTAGTGCAGGCGGGCGCGGAGTATTTGGCGCTAAAGAAGCACACGCGACTAACGCACGAGTTGAGCGAAGCGAGCCAGTGACAGCTTGTTCATGAGTGCGTAGCGTGTCAAAAACTCTCAGGCGAGTGACTAGAGTATCTAATCGAGGCCTTAAGCTCCGTCCAGACAGTGGTATAAATGTCATAACTGGTTCAAGCGAGCTTCTTTGCTAGATAACCAGACATTGCTACGTCACAGAAATTGGTTTAAAGGTTTTGGCATAAAAGTCGAAGTTTTCAACCTTATGCCGACTTGGTATAAAAGTCGACCAATCCGAGCGAACGTCTGAAACCTCTTGAGCGCGAAAGCTGTTGACACGTCCAGTCATGCTCAAATTTAACTTCTCTAATTGGCTGCGCCTTAGACCCTGTCTTGGAAGTGTGAACGGAACTATCGCATTTTATATACCTTATGACTATGTGTCTATGACATTTATACCACCGTCTGAAAGGAGCCTTAAGCTACTTTAAGCCAGTGTAACTTTCAGCCAGTTGCAGATCTCACAGGTATTTTTAGCATCAGCTTTATAATTTGTTATAACTTTATGTTGCTGCTTTTATTGTTATAAGATAATAGATGTTTTCAGATGCCACCGATCTGACATAGCTACAAGAAAGAAACCAGTAGTACACGAACTACAAATTAGAGGCAACTACAAAGAAAAACAGGGATGAAAACCGTAATTTTAAAAGTTGAACGAACCACACTTTTCGCTCTTTTACAAAAATTAAATGGCCGTACAGCCGGTTATATATGTCAAGATAAATTGGCTCATAGCAAGAAATTAAATTTGGAGAGGTTACGATTAATCACGTGTCATTTGGCAGTAAATAACCCGCCGGTGATTCGAGAAAGAAAGCAGTCGAGGAACTTCAGGAAAGTTAAGAAAACTTAAGTTGTGAATTTAATTATTGGGTCCAGTTTTCCAACAATGTTAATATTGCAAGCTTTATTGCTAGTCGTGTGAATCCTAAGGCCCATATCACACATGCATTTGTTTCGTACGAGCAACTGTTTTGAACAACATTTCTGCCTAGTTTACTATAGGAAAAAAGACGCTCGATTTTTCCCCTTCCTTTCGGAAAAATTGCAGGTTGTTCGTTTTCAAACAATTAGCTATCAGCTTCGAATGCTATCGCCTTGTTTGTGATAGCGAACCAGTTTACCCTTTACGTGTTAACCACAAAGTAATGTGAGGTGATTGGCCGTTTTGAAAAAAAGCAGGAAAATTGCTTCTAACAGTTGTTCTTCCTAAACAAACGATATGTTCGATATATATATATATATATATATATTTCCGAAACATATATATATATATATATATATGTTGTTCTTCCGAAACAAACAAACGATGTGTCATAGCAGCCTTAGACAATGAATACGTTAAAAGTACTTTCATAAGTGCATCCGAAGAGCTATTCCAGGATGTAAAGAACAAAGCAGAAGTTCTTAAAAAAATTAGAGTTACCCCCGTCTGCTAAAACAGTAAAAGACAGAACAGTGAAAATATCTTAGAAGACAACCAATTAGCAAATCCAAGATCTTAAACTGGTTTCAGCTTTATGAGTAGCTGTTCACAAATCTTGGGACATAAATGTATTAGCCCAAGTTGCACTTTCGTTCGATTTATATCGTCCACGGGTTATAAGGAACCTTTAGTTCTTTATAACTTGTGGACGGTTTGGTTATCTAGCATAGAAGATTATTGCCACTGCAAAGTCAAACACGTCGTGAGGATATTGTAAATGCTGTCATTAAATGCATGGAGGAATATCTTATTTCACTCGATAAAATTGTTTCAATTTCAAAAGATGGAACAGAAAATATAACCGGAGTCAGAAAAGGTTTCGTTTATGTTTTAAAGGATAAAATTAATCAGGAAATACTTAATTTAGAAGTCAAACAACAAAAATCAGCGTTACACCCTCAAATTTTCACAGGACTAGTTTCGATGGTTTTACCGAACCATCATCCTCAGCTGCAAAAAAATAAAACCATCGAAACTAGTCCTGTGAAAATCTGAGGATGTAACGCTGACTTTTGCTATTTGACTTCTAAATTAATATTTGTTCGGCGTGGTATTGTATCTTAATTCAGGAAATACTTGTTTACCGTTGCATTATAGCAACGCTAATTTGAATTAAACATTAAGCATTTGAATTAAACAGCATATAGCCTAAGTAACACTTTCGAGAGAGGAAAAATGCAAATTAAAATTTGGTATTTTTTTAAAATTTTTGGTGGAGAGTGTATATGTTTACTGAAAGAAAGCTTGATAGACTCTCTTAGATGATTCATTGATTCTCAATGGAACCTTGAATCCATACGATAGCTCGATTATCAATCATTATTATTAATGGAAATATGAAATGTAATGGACTTTTTATACACTAAATATAAAAACAACACTAAACATAAAAATTTACATTTGTTTGTGGACTCAAAGGTCATGGTAAATCCAGGCATGTCATTCGAAGGACTTGAGACGAATTTTACAAGTATCTTATTATTCTGAGAGTCATGCTGAGCTGGTGAATCCTACAAGGAAAAAAAATGGAATGAATATTTCCTTAGATTTTATGAAAAAAATGAGTCATTTTTAATGAAAATATTAGAAATATGAAATATTACTTTACAAGATATGAAGAATAAATAAACGCAAACTACAAACGATAAAAATAATATATTGGAATTCGTAAACTTCATGTTACAATCTTGCATATTGAAGAATTTTTCATTAAAGTCTCAAACAATTAGAAAGATAATTTTAAAAACGAAAATTCATATGCACAAAAATAAACAAAATAAAATTAAAACACATAAATTACTGAATTATGGTAAACTGAAAGAGAAACAAGTCAAACTATATATAAATATTCCGAATACGTTATTCACATAAATTATGAAACATTCTACGAGTAATCAAACTTATAATTAAATAAGAATGGTCTCGTAAACTTAAAGTTCTAATCTTTCTTTGACTCTTCAAAATTGTTAATCTCTCTCTATATAAAGAATAAAGTCTGTATGTATGTTTGTTCGCTAATAACTTAGTCACTACTATAGCTATCACCAAATTTCCTACAATTCTTTTATGGGTCCTGGAAAAAAAAAAAAAAAAAAAAAAAAAAAAAGACTCAAATCAGATATTAATTAAAAATTCGGAAAAACGATAATTTTCGCCCTCATTTTTTCCAGTGGCAACAGTCTCGCAAGCTGGAGATGAAAACAAGGACCACCTTGGGTGAAAATCTGCTTTATTTCGAAAGGTGTTGCCACTGCTCGCTTTCAAATCGTAGAGTTTATTAATAAAAAATTTCTAAGCTTTACGATGAAATAAAAATAGCATTGCCAAACATTAAATACATTATTCCCGGTTCCAAAAATTCGTGGAAAGCCATTTCGACTGTTCCCATCTTCGTACGACTTTAATCAGCCGACATATTAATTAAAAACTCTGAAAACGCTTATTTTCGCACTCATTTTTTCGAGTGGCAACAGTCTGGCGCGCTAGAAATAAAAATACTTTATTTCGAAACGTGTTGCTACTGCTCGCTTTCAAAATATAATGTCTAGATGTAGTTAATCTGTTGTATAATATGGATGTATACTGCGAAAATGGGACAGTTCTATATCTTTCGTTCTGCTGGGTCGATTGACGAAAATTCAAACTGCGTTTCTTATGTCTCTAAAGCGCGACTTAGGATATATATTAGATTTATATATAGCATTGTTCTAACATATGTATTTTGACACAAAATTGAAATTGGACTTTGTCTGAGATAACACACCAATTTTTTTCCATATTTCAATTGTGCGATTCAAATTATGCCTGGATATTAAATTTTGTAAAATTTGGTGCGACATTTACGAAGAAATTAAAAAATTTAGCTTGGCGCATTTTTTTTTCAATTTGCGCCAAGAATAATTTATTTATGGAACTTCTTAATATATGACAATCCATTTTCCTTTCCCTTCCATGTTGCAGGACAGGTAAAAAAGTCATGTCGTTCCTACTTTCAAATAATTTTAACAAAGTGTGTAAACCACATTAGATATTATTATCGCTTTCAACAAATATGCCAAATTTCAAAACGCGCCAATATATAAATTCACATATATCTTCGAAAATTTCGAGTAATAAGCTCTAAATATTTGCAGGTATACTTAGAAATAGTTTAAGATGATGGTAAAAATTTTACAGGTTAGAATTAAATTCCTTTTTTCAAAAATTTATAAAAATTAATTAAAAATACAAATTTTTAAAATGAATTATAAAAAATGGGTGAATGTTATTTGGAATGAACCTAAATTTTGAAAAGTTAAAAGAAGAATCAAATAAGTTTTATAAAAAAAAGAGATATTAATAAATGTATACCAATCTCAATTAACATGGAGGAGCTAAAATTTTGGAGAGCTAATGTTTTAAAAACTACTCGTGCGATTTTTACAAAACTTGGCAGCTTGGCGGAATTTGAGTGGTTGCATTGAAATATGGAACAAATTGGTATGTTATTTCAGAAAAAGTCCGATTTTTGTGTCAAAATACCTATATTAGAAGAAAGCTATATATAAATCTAATACGTATACTAAGTCGCGCTTTCGAGACATGAAAAACGCAAGTTGAATTTCGTCAATCGGTCCAGTAGGACGGGAGATATAAAACTGTCCCTTTTTTTTTTTTTTTTTTTTTTTTTTTTTTTTTTTTTTTTTTTTTTTTTTACCTCGCAGTGTACAAGAAAAATCAAAAAAGCTTCTGGGACTTTCCTCAGTGTTAAATATCCGATACATTTCAATTGCAGTCTAATTCGCAAAACCTTCTTCACTTGATATTCAAAACGCATTGTACTGGAAACTCCACAAGTTTATTTTGATAATTAAGTAATTAAGAATCTTGAATTGCATTTCGCTCAGTGCAAAGTGACCATTTTAAAACAGAAAAAATTATCATTTTATACGATCCTACAGCTTGCGACAGTGATAGATAGAGCTGAAACTTTTTCTGTTTACTTACAGATCCACAATATCTAGCAATCCTTTTCCCATTGTCAACAGTGTGACCATCGTAGAGTTCGACGTAATTTGTATCGCACTCGTCCGTGGAATTGAGAGCAAAAGCTGTGAAAGTAACCCTGGCGTTGTAATATTTAGGGACGGAAATGTACCAAATACACTCTGCAGACCTGTTGTACGGCTCGGGATAGAGTGGACTCGAGAGAGCTCCTTCTTGAGCTTGAAATCGTCCTCCACATCCTCTTCCTGAAACCAAATTAGAATAATTATACATAAAAACGCCAAACGATTTTTCAATTACGTACATCTTGCACCAAAAAAAAAAAAAAAAAAAAATAAAAAAAAAAAAAAATAAAAATAAAAATAAAAAATAAAAAATAAAATCTGAAGGCATTTAGATTTTAGATTTTGCCCAAAGGGCCTTATTTTTTAAGATTTGGTGTGTTACCTTTATTTAGTAAATATCATGTTCTTCGTACTTGAACCATAAAATTCAATTCAACAGCAATATCTCAAAATAATTTTTAAATGAGCATATCTTTAGAATTTCCGTCTGGTGCGCTGGAGATAAAAATGTTTTTTCTGCGACATTTCCATTGCTCACTTTGAAATCCTTGAGTTTGTTAACCCTTTCGCCGTCCTCTCCTGTCCGCGAAAATCCCCCCCCAGCGGTCGTCTGTTTTTCGTAGCGTGTAATGTTGTTTTCTCTGTACATCATAACTTTCCATACATGACTTTCGTAGTGGATGAATGTCAATGAATATTAAGTAAAATTATAAGGAAATAAAGCATAATGGTAAAATTGTAATATCTCTGCTTATTTCTAACAGCAGGGTAATTTGATAACATCTGATCCAGGCGGTCCACTTGAAAGCGCTTGAGAACGCTTCAGGAGCGTTATGGCCGCTTGAGACGCGTTACGGACGACGAAGAGGTTAATCAAAAATTCGTTGAAGTATTACAAAATAGAAATAGATAATAAAACAAATTCCAAAATTCAAATTTGGTCTTCCACATGCCCATATTCGTAGGAAGATCACGTCATTCAAAATTCGATGGCTCTATGTATCTTGTTTTATCAATGAGAGAAATATACATCTTTTGATGCAAATATTTCATTATTTAATTTCTTCAAATATAATGCAGGACTCTAACATTCGGTGGCAACAGTTTGAAAAGTGAAACGGACATTTATAGTGATTCAACGCAAAATCGCAAACCGAAAACAATAGTCCTTCGGGAACAAAGCCCCTTTGGACTAATAATTTTAAAACAAGTAATATAAAAAATGTGAATTCAATTCCTACTTAGGTATAGTAAGAATTAAAAAAAAAAAAAAAAAAAAAAAAAAAAAAAAAAAAAAAAAACAGCATGCCGACTTAAATAAAATATTTAAATCTGAGTAATCTAAATTACTTGTTATAAATTATTTTATTTACTTTAATATGTGAAAAAACTATATTAACATCAAGTGCCATCCATCCACTACATGTTTGAAATATGTATTTGAACTTGAGTGGATGGCTAAAAAGTATTTTGTTAACAACTGAAAATTTGAGCAAGATATAGGAAGAGTGTGAAATAACAGTAGGAATTTAATAAGCGTATCTTTAGAATTTCCGATCCAGTCTCGCCAGCTAGAGATAAGGACTTTTTTTTTTTTTTTTTTTTTTTTTTCTGTACAGTGTTGCCATTGCTTGCTTTGAAATCGTTGAGTTTCTTAATCAAAAATTCGTTAAAGTTTTACAAAATATGAAATTGATAATAAAACAAATTCCAAATTCCAAGTTCGGGCTTCCAGTTTCCCATGTTCTAGTGGAGGACAACTTATTGAAAATTTGATGTCTGTAGAAACCGTTGTTTTTTCGACAGCGAGAAACATACATACATTTATACAGATTCTTCATTATCTAATTTCTTTAACTATAATGCGTTACTCTAATACTTGGTGGCAACAATTTGAAAAGTAAACCGACATTTATAGTGAACCAAAGCTAGTTGCCAAAACGAAATTAATAGACCTTCTGGGCTAACGCCTTTTGGGCTAATAATTTGAGAAGAGTATATCTTTAGAATTTCCGATGCACAGTCTCGCGCTGGAGATAATTTTTTTCGTACACTGTTGTCATTGCTCGCTTTGAAAGCATTGAATTTCTTAATCAAAAACTCATAATTGCTCTACAGTATATGAAATACATAATAAAATCAATTCCAAATTCCAAATTTGGGTTTCCAGATGCCCATATTTGGGTGGTTCATTCCAAATAAAAGTTGCCCATTTTTTTATGATTAATTTTTAAAATTTGTATTTTAAAATAATTTTTATAAATTTTTCAAAACAAATTTGAATTATAATTTTTAAAATTTTCACCATCATCTTAAAGTAGACGTATTTCTAAGCATACCTGCAAAAAATATAGTTTTTTATTCAAGATTTCCGAAGATATACGTGAATTTATATATTGGCGTGTTTTGAAAGTTGGCATATTTTTGAAAGCGATAAAGCATCAAATGTGGTTTAGGCACTTCGTTAAAATTATTTGAAAGTAGGAACGATGTCACTTTTTTTCGCTCCGGTATAATGGAAGGGTAAGGAAAATAGGTTGCTGTATATTAAGAAATTCGCCAAGTGAATTATTCTTGGCGCAAAGTGAGAAAAACTAAGCGAAGATAAATGTTTGAATTTCTCCGTAAATTTCGCACCACATGTTACAAAATTTAATAGCTAGGCATAATTTGAGCCGTAGAATCGAAACATGAAAAAAAATTGGTATGTTATTTCAGAAAAAGTCAGATTTTGTGTCAAAATACCTATGTTAGAATAGTGCTATATATAAATCTAATAATATATATCCTAAGTCGCGCTTTCGAGACATGTAAAACGCAATTTAAATTTTGTCATTCGGCCCAGTAGAATGGAAGATATAGATAGAACTGTCCTATTTTTTTTTCGTAGTGTACAATGATGAAGCGTGGTTCCATTAGTAAGGATAATGTGAACTAATAAAACACACGTTTTATTAGTTCACATACAGTCACACGGCAGTGACAGCCAGAATGCAGTCGTCAAAGAGCCCCTTCATTCGCACATGTGTTGTGCATTATCACTGCGGCGCATCCACAGGGGCCAGTGTTTTTGACAATACTGTCACCAGGTGTGTGTGCCAGGCACCGTTTCACTGCTATAACATGTAGATGTGCACCTAGTATTTTGGTTGCAATCGGCCGCACCAAACGTATATAAATATATTTATATATATATCCACTCTGTTACCCGGCTCAGTGACCTCAGTTTCTTTACTCTTATATGTTTGTAAATTGTGCATTTTGTGCTTTAAAAATGATTTAATTATGTTGTTCTTACCTTCCGGTTAAGGTTTTTATGCCTAGTAAATCTGCAAGCAATATTTGTACAATCAACAATTTAAAGCTGTTTAAATGCGGTGAAGCCGAATTTTTAAATTATATGGCGGACATATTTGTTTACATTTGAAACAGCAGAATAGTAGATTGGTTGCCAATCTAGAGAGACTAAGCTTCGCAACAACAAAGATAACGCCTTCATTTATTATCACGAATTAAATCATGCTTAACCCTTTCTGGAATGTTTTCGAGGGAATAAGTGTTTAAGATTTACTTCGTAATTTTTAATGTAGATATTTTGAGTTTTTATGTATTTTTGCCTAATTGAATGAGAAATACTAAATTGTCTGTGAAAAACTGTTTCTTTTTTGTTTTGTTTGCTTAATTTCTTTTATACATCGTTCTAGATTTATTATAGTATTTGAATAGAACACGGGGCAACGATTCGATAATTCTTTAAATGATATAAATTTTGTGCATTCTGAGTTATAATATGAACGAAATATAATACTGTTAAGTAAACCTAGCGCCAGAGTGTCGCTATGGTAAACAAAGTGAATTTTAAAGAATGCATTTATTCTGTTGTGGTTTATGCGTTGTCGGCGAAGTAGGTTTAATTCAATCTAATAAGTTTAAATAAAATGCAAGAAAAAATGCGTATAATTTAATATAAATATTAAATTTAAATTTATAATTTGCGTATAATTTCATGTGGTGTACACATCAGATTTTTTTCCATTGATGCACGAGAGAAAAAAAGGTCCATAATTCATTCTTTCAAATATAATTTTAACGAAGTACGCAAACCACATTTTCGTTATTATCACTTATATTAAATACGCCGAAATGTAAATTCACGTAAAGGAAAGTTTGAATAAAAAATTCTAATTTTTTGCAGATATGCTTAGAAATATATCTATTTTAAAATAATGCTAAAAATTTTATAAGTTGTAATACAAAAAGTTTTCGAAAAATTTATAAAAATATAAATTTTAAATAAATTTTAAATAAAATAAAAATATAAATTTTTAAAATAAGTAATACAAAATGGACGAATTACATTTGGATTGAGTCTAAATTTCGAATTCTGGAAGAAGGATTCTAGTTTAATAAAAAAGAGATATTAACAAATATATGTCAAATTCAATTAACATTAACAGCTAAAATTTCGAGAGCTAATTTTTAAAAAAGTATTCTTGCGATTTTTACAAAAGTGGGCAGTTTGGTATAGTCGTAGAATCGAAATATGGAAAAAAATTGGCATTTCAATATGGAAAAAGTCTGATTTTGTGTTAAAATTCCTATATTAAAACAATGCTATATATAAATGTAATATATAGCCTAGGTCGTGCTTTCGAGACATGAAAAATGCAATTTGAATTTCGTCAATCGGCGTAGTAGAACGGGAGATGTAAACTGTCCCCCCTTTTTTTTGCGCAGTGTACATTTTAGCAGTGTGTGCAGTGTTGCCACTGCTTGCTTTGAAATTGTTGAGTTTGTTAATCAAAAGTTCGTTAAAGTTTTATAAAATATGCAATTGTAATAAAACAAAAACGAAATACGGATTTCGGGTTTGCCTGTGCCCTTGTTCTTGTTATTCAAAATTTGATGACGATAGATACCGTTGTTTTCCACAATAGGAGAAACATGCATAGATTCCATCAGATTCTACATTATTTAATTTCTTGAAGTATAATACAGAGCGATAACATTTGGTGGCAACAATTTGAAAAGAGATACTGCTTTTATAGTGATTCAACGCAAAATACCTTTCAAAACTAATATCCCATTTGAGACTAACGTCTCTTTGGGGCCAATAATCTGTGGTTTGAGAAGGAATTAATTAGTTTTACGTTATTTCAGGTGCGAAAGACGGTTTCAGTTTCATTTTGGATAACGAACGGCTTTCAAGAACGAATTTACGAATTTAATTTTTTCTCGAAAAAGCCGTGGGCTTTAACTGTGGATTTCATAGTACAATTTGTAATTTGATGAAGAAAATGAATTTTTATTCATCGCAGCGTGAATATTTAATACAGAGTGGCAACACTCACCCTGATCCGTTGTAGTGTAGGTAGCGTAAAAACGTCCATTTTCATCCGGTACTGTAAATACTACATGAAGGAAGCTTCCGGTTGAAAATACGGGAGTAGGCACCTCATAACCGCAAAATGTATCCAAAAGAAGGGCTGAGGTATCTGGACCATCGTAAACCTGAAAGTGAAAAAAGAGTACAGGAATATTTTCTTGTAGTTAAATGGATAAATTATGAAATAAATAGCTTTATCCATTTGAAATTCTATTTTGCATCTTCGCTTGAAAAGGCAGTGTTAAATTTACCTTGAATGGAACGAGAAAATATGTGGTACTGATGCATTTTTAAAAATGGATTGTTTTCTATTTTTTTCCTCAATTAAAATATTTCGATTAAATAAAAATATAATAGTAATGGTTAGTGGAAAATAAAATCATATTCAAGCAATAGTTCCATATTTTGAAGAACTGACACGACATTTACATTTAGGAATTTGCTTAGAGGATTTTGAGATTACAATTCACTTTTAAGATTTTATCCGGGTGATTAAATTATTTTCCATTGTCTCCACTGTTTTATGCAATGTTAACTCTTCTGTAATTCTTTGTTCTTCGTCCTCCTTTTTACCTCGCCTAATTCTGTTTGTTCGTCTCATATTCTGTATGACCTCAGCTGGCAATTGTTTCAGCCTATTAAAGATTATTGGAATCTTTTTGGAAATTTATTACGTACATACATACAGGGCGATCAACGAATAAGCCCTGATTTCAAAATTAAATATCTCTGCCACAAAGATCGATAGAATTGTGCGGTAAATTGTACGCTTATTAGCAAAACTGTAAAAAATGGTGTATAGAAGTTTAGAAAATTTAGTTATGAAAATCGTTAACAGATGGCGCTCTGCGCTGAAAACTCTTTCGCTGAAAAGAGTCTTAAAAAATAAATAAATAAAATAAAGGGAAGCAGCCTTTGCAATCAAAATACAATTTTTTTCAAAATGTTCACCATTCGAAAGAATGAGGTGGCATAAACAAACAAGGAAATTTGACATCACGTGGAATCGCATGCAACGCCAATTCAATGCAAGTCATCTAGCGGGATTGTTTCGATAGACAGCGTCTCTCAATGCGCCCCACAGAAAGAAGTCACAAGGACTCAGATCGGGACAATATGGAGGCGAAGCTATTCCTGTGTCAGTAAATTGAGGATAATCTAACGCAATTACTCTATTCCCAAAGTATTCATGAAGAAAGTGAAAAACTTTTTGTTTCGATAGACAGTGTCTTTCAATGCGCCCCACAGAAAGAAGTCACAAGCACTCACATCGGGAGAATGTGGAGGCCAAGCTATTTCTGTGACAGTAAATTGCTGATAATCTAACGCAGTTACTCTATTCCCAATGTAGTATTCATGAAGAAAGCGAAAAACTTTATCTATTCGATGTGGTCGAGCCCCATCCTGCATGAACCAGTCAATCCTCCAACGCTAGTTGAGTGCTGACAAATTGTTTCAAAATTGTAACGTAACGTTCAGTAGTTATCGTTTCTCGTACGAAAAAGGGCCCGATAATACCCCTGGAGCATTCCGCAGCCCATGCAGTAACTTTAGGCGAATGCAATGCTTTCTCTTCACACAAATGAGGATTTTCGAAACCCCAAAATCTCCAGTTTTGTTTATTAACGATTCCATTCAAATGAAAATGTGCCTCATCTGTGAACCAGATGCAGCTCACATCAAATCTGTCATTGTCGGTCGTTGTTAGAATCTGATTCGCAAAGTCAACCCTTTGTTCCACAGCTTTCATGGGTATGACTTTGGATTTTGTATGGAAACAGCCATAGGCTATTTTTTAATATTTTTTGTGTGCTCGTGTACTTAAAACCTGTCTCTGATGCAATCCGTCGGATGCTTTTCCTAGAATTTTGCTCAATAATTCCAGAAACTTTGGCTGCATTTTCAGGAGTGACTACAGTTTGCTTAGGCTTAACATGCCCTTTCGAGAATCAGCCACGTTGCCAGTCCATTCGAATTTTTCGAAGAGCATGCGAATGGTTTTCGCATCGGGTCCAACTGGAACATTGGATTGGTTTTGAAAACTGCGACGTGTTGCCATAGGACTGTGTTCTAATTGGTGAAAAAATAAAGAAAACACGTTGTTCAATGGAATACATTATTTCACTTTCTACGCTAGCCTCTTTTCACTAGCCAACAGTCGTACTGATCACTTTCGACGTCGAAGCACATTTTAAAGGCTTTTGATAGGTTATTGCGATTAGAGTGCCATCTGTTAACGATTTTCGTAACTAAATTTTCTAAACTTTTGTACACCATTTTTACAGTTTTGCTAATAAACGTACAGTTTACCGCATAATTCTATCGATCTTTGTTGTAGAGAAATTTAATTTTGAAATCAGGGCTTGTTTGCTGATCACCCTGTATGTACGTACGTATCTCGCATAACTCGAAGATTTCAAGTCATAGGCATAAAAGAAGATGTTCGCACGCATTTGGACGACTTTGCTTTGATATAAAAAATCTGATGTGTACATCGCATAACTTCCTTGTACGAAATATTAAATTATACGCATTTTTTCCTGCATTTCATTTAAAATTATTTCCTCGAATTTCATTAGAGATACATTTCTCATTCAATTAATTCAGTTCTCACTTCACGGCAAGAAAAAAGTACATAAAAACTCAAAATATCCTCATTAAAAATTGAAACATAGAAACGCATAAAACACCAAATACAATTTAAAAAAAAAATTTACAATTAAAATTATAGTTTCTACGCAAAAACAAGCAATTCGGCCAAAGGGAAAAAAGACAGATTTTTCGGTGCACAAAACTAAAAGTTTCCTTTTGGTCCCACTCGGTAAAAAGCACTGAAGGTGTAGAAAGACTTAATTCACTGTTCTGCTAAGGTTCAAATGTAAACAAATATGGCTTCTTTGGTGAGAAAAATTAAGTTTAACGGCACTTAAACAACTTTTAAATTGTCGATAATTCTACAATTATTGCATGCAGATTTCCTAAGGCATAAAACCCTTAACAGGAAGATAAGAGCAACATACTAATTCAGAAGTCAAACAACATAATTAAATCATTTTTAAAGCAAAAAATGCACAATTTACAAACATATAAGAATAAAGAAATTGAGCTCACTGAGCCGAGTTGCCACTCTGCACATTATTCCGAAGAAAATTTATATACTTTTGGGGCTGTCGATTGCAACCAAAATACGAGGTGTACATCTACATGTTATAGCAGTTACAGAAAATTTCAACGTTCCGAGGCTTTTTGAGTTATGCGAGATACGTACGTACGTACGCACAGACGTCACGAAAAGTTCTCTTCTGAATCTGTTTTAAATCAGTTTTATAATTCGTTTGGGGAAAAAGAATCCTTTATTCTGCCTTACGTACAGATGTCACACAAAAACATCGTTAAATTGCATTCGATAGCTCTCAAAATGGATATTTTCGTTGAAATATGTTACACGGAATTTTTCGTGATTACAATGCTTTTTTACTTCGTACAAGGTAGTAAAAAATTGCCTTCTTGGAAAATTTCATTTTAACTGCAAACGTACTTTTGAAAGTTAAATTATCATCTGGTAGTTGACAATTTTATTTTCATGCAAAATGGTGCTTTTAAAGAAGCAATGGACAAAAGGCAACGTTTGGATTCTTTCGGAAGAAAATTATTTTCATCTGGTTATTAAAAATGCATGATGTTCAGTATCGAAAAGAATGAAAAATACACTCATGTCCATAAATTAAGGATAATTCGGAGCCACGCGGAAATCGAACTCTAAGATAAATATATCACCTGTAAAATCACTACACACATCTTCAAGAATCATATGCAAATTTCAGGAAGTCACCAGATGACACCGATGGTACGTCACAATGACGAGAGTGTAAGAGAGTGATACATAAGGAATACAAGCAAAGAAGTAAAATTGTTCGCAGGGGCTTTATAAGCATTTCAATACAATAACCGAATGGTTATAACACAAAGGACGCATTTGGATGATTTTTTACGTGGTAGAATTATCGGCCGTCTAGAATGTGGGCGTAACCAACAGAAGGTATCAGACGAACTTGGAATTGCCCAGAGTGTCATCTCCAGGCTTTGGCAACGATTCCAAGATGATGGTAATGTGAGTAGACGTTACAGCACAGGTCGCCCCAGAGTTACAACGCGGAATGAGGACCGTTATTGGCAGTTACTGTCAAAAAGAAACAGGCGGAGCACAGCCTCAGACCTGTCTCGTCAGCTCTCTTCAGCCGCTGATACGACAATTTCAAGGCAGACCGTGTACAGACGCTTAGCGCAGATTGGTCTATATGCTCGTAGACCTGTCAGATGCGTTCCACTTACTGCAACTCACTGTCGCCTGCGGTTAGCCTGGAGTGGATGGGGGGGGGGGGGGGGGGGGGGGGGTGGGGGGGGGGGGGGGGGGGGGGGGGGGGGGGGGGGGGGGGGGGGGGGGGGGGGGGGGGGGGGGGGGGGGGGGGGGGGGGGGGGGAGTATGGGGCTGGGCAGATCGCCGGACTTCGGAACAAGAGCACCGTCGGGTGCAGAGTGCTGTTTGGGGTGGATTATTCTGGAGTTAACATGATGCATTCCTGTGATTTTCAGGGTCTTAGTCTAGGTTTAGCTTGCAGTCTGATTCTCGCCGGACTTTCTTATGGAGAGCTCCAGGTACCCGTTACCACCAAGAAAACATCATTGAACGACACCGTTACGGTGGTGCAGGAGTGCTCGTTTGGGGTGGAATTATTCTGGGTTCCAGAACTGACCTGCATGTTCAAATTGGAACCATGACAAGCCAAATCTATCAGGATGTCATTCTGGAACAACATGTACGTTTGTTTCGGGGCGCCATGGGCGCACAATTTGTGTTTATGGATGACAACGCCCGTCCTCACCGTGAAAACATCGTAAGCGAATGCCTTCAATCGGAGGATATCACCCGTATGGATTGGCCATCATTCTCACCGGACTTGAATCCAGTAGAGCACGTGTGGGACATGCTTGGCCGACGAGTTGCAGCCCGTCAACCCCCTCCTACATATCTACTGGAACTTCGGAGAGCATTGCCTTTTGAGTGGTGTAATATCCCCCAAGATCAGATCGATAATTTGATACTCGGCATGCCTAGGCGTTGTACGGACTGTATTGCATCGTCTGGGAGACATACAATGTATTAACAATCATACCAACCATGTAATATTGGTTTTTTGTAAATAAGTTTTTTTTTTGTAATTTGCTCCAGGGAGAAAAATCGCTAATTTTTTTAATAATATCATACATATAGCATCTTTTTTTGCCCGTATGGATTGGCCATCATTCTCACCGGACTTGAATCCAGTAGAGCACGTGTGGGATATGCTTGGCCGACGAGTTGCAGCCCGTCAACCCCCTCCTACATATCTACTGGAACTTCGGAGAGCATTGCCTTTTGAGTGGTGTAATATCCCCCAAGATCAGATCGATAATTTGATACTCGGCATGCCTAGGCGTTGTACGGACTGTATTGCATCGTCTGGGAGACATACAATGTATTAACAATCATACCAACCATGTAATATTGGTTTTTTATAAATAAGTTTTTTTTTGTAATTTGCTCCAGGGAGAAAAAATCGCTAATTTTTTTAATAATATCATACATATAGCATCTTTTTTTGCTCTTTACCTTTTGTTTAATAAATAAGCTTTACAAATAAGTCAAATTTGTTTTGCTTCTAACTCTTCCTTTGCCTGATTTTCCATTATCCTTAATTTATGGATATGAGTGTAGTATTGTCAATAAGAAAAGGGAAAAAAAACGGCTTCAAGGGGAAAAATGTTTCAAAGTAGATCTCCAAAGAGAAAAAGGATGTTTCGAATAATGTAAAGGTTAGAACATTCATGTTAAAAGAAAATCCTCGAAATCAAAAGACAGCTGCACAATCATTAAACTGCTGAGTGTCAATTGTAAACAAAGTGATTAATGCTTATTTGAATCTTAAAAAAGCGAAAAACGTAATGTGCATCGTCTTTCTCCACGACATATCGCCGAAAGCAGAACGCGTTGCAGAATTCTTTATGAGAAACAATTATCGGACGAAAATGGAAAAATGTTGTGACAATAGATGAATTATGGTATATTTAAATGACCACAATAAAAAGAAATGCGTTTATTACCATCAAGCAGAAGAAAAATCTTAGAACAATGTTCAAAGTATCTAAAAAACGTTTTTCAATGGGATTTATGATTGCTGTTGATTTTTGATAAAACCATAAATAAAAATTAAAGACAGTTCAGAAGACTGTTATGATCAACTCGACATATTATCAGAAACATATTTCATACCCAATTTTCAAATATGAAATAACTTCTGTTTACTCACAATGCCATCAACCCGTAGAACTGCATCAAGGCAAAACAAGCAGCCGCACCTCAAAATCCACTGTTAATTTCCTCTAAAATAAATTTAAAAAGAAACGGGTATGAAGGCCATAGCCTTCACTAATATCCACAGAAAATCTCCTGATGTCTCACTTATGGAAGTTTGCGATTTTGGATTTTTAAAATGCGAAATATCCAAACGTCGACCTACAACCCTCCTTGACCTTTGGAAAGCTGTTAAACAGAAATGGAATAACACACGTTTTTCGATACTAAAAAATCTGATGTGTACACCACATGACTTCCTTGTACGGAATATTAAATTATACGCATTTTTTCTTGCATTTCATTTAAACTTATTGGATTGAATTAAATCTACTTCGTCGACAGCGCATAAACCACAATAAAATAAATGCATTCTTTAAAATCCACTTTGTTTACAATAGCGACACTCTGGCGCTAGGTTCACTTAACAGTATTATATTTCGTTCATATTATAACTCAGAATGCACAAAATTTATATCATTTAAAGAATAGAATTATCTAATCGTTGCCACATGTTCTATTCAAATACTATAATAAAGCTAGAATGATGTATAAAAGAAATTAAGCAAACAAAACAAAAAGGTAACAGTTTTTCACAGACGATTGAGTATTTGTCATTCAATTAATTCAGTTCTCACTTTCCGACAAGGCAAAGATACATAAAAACTCAAAACATCTACATTAAAAATTACGAAGTAAATCTTAAACACTTATTCCCTCGAAAACATTCCAGAAAGGGTTAAGCATGATTTAATTCGCAATAATAAATGAAGGCGTTATCTTTGTTGTTGCTTTGTTGTTCTCTAGATTGGCAACTAATCTACTATTCTGCTGTTTCAAATGAAAACAAACATGTCCACCATGTTATTTAAGTATTAGGTTTAAAGGTTTAACCGCACTTAAACTGCTTTTAAATTGTTGACAATTCTACAAGCATTGCTTGCAGATTTCCTAAAGTACTAAAAACCTTAATCGAAAGATAAGAACAACAGAATTAAATCATTTTTAAAGCACAAAATGCACAATTTACAAGCATATAAGAGTAAAGAAACTGAGCTCACTAAGCCGGGTAACAGAGTGGATATACATATAAATATATTTTTATATGTTTGGTGCGGCCGATTGCAAGCAAAATACGCGATGTGCATCTACATGTTATAGCAGTCCTATATACAAAATTTCAACGTTCTGAGGCTCTTCGTATTTGAGTTATGCGAGATACATACGTACGTACGTACACAGACACAGCGAAAATTCTCTTCAAAATTCATTTTAAAGTTGTTTTACAATTTTTTGGGGAAAGAGAGTACTTTATTCTGTCCTTGCATACAGATGTCAATAAAAAACATCGTTACATTGCATTGGATAGCGGTTAAAACGGATATTTTCATTGAAATATGATGCCTGAAACTTTTCGCGATTGCAATACTTCCTTTTTACTTCGTACAAGGAAGTAAAAAAGGCCTTATAGTCTTTGAAATTACGATGTAGAAAGATAATGAAGAATAATATTGATGGAACATTTAAAACACAAAAACTTTATGCAAAATATTTCTGTAAATACAAAGAAAATTCAATTAAAAATGTTCGAACGGCTTCTGTGTTATTCACGTGCAAATCTGTTTCTTACCTTCACATTATTTCTGGAGCAGTTTTCGGATGCAGATATAGAAAGAGTTTTAAAATAGAGCGAAACGGTTTTCCCTGCAGTAGCATTGATGGTCATTACGCAGATCTTGTCCATGAATGACGCGGGATAATCCGGATTGGATAAAACACCATTGTCTTTTACAAAAGTTCTGTTGCAGTCTAAAATGAAAATACAATATTTCTTAATTATTGATATGTTATTTCGTACATGTAATTATTTAAAACATAAAAGCTTAATTTTTACGAGCGAAGGTAATCAAGACAAACATTCAAACGGTTGCTTACTAGCCCCTGCTGTGTAGCAGGTGAGCATATTCCTGAAGGTCTGCGAAACAAGAAATTCACAGGAGGCCTATTTGTCGACATAGCTAAAGCCTTCGATCGCGTTTGGATGATTGCTTTAATTTACAAAATACACAATATTTGCTTACCAGATCACATTACACGCATATTTATGTCCTTTCTAACAAGTTGACACTTTATCGTTTACATTTCAAACACATATTTTACTAGCCGAGTTATTTTAGCAGGTGTACCACAGGGATCTACATTTGGTCCCGCATTATTTAACATTTATGTGAACGGTTTATTTAACGTCTCGTATTAAACATTCCTGCCACAGCGAACACTGCTTTTGGAATGTACGCTGATGATACAGCGATTCTTGCACAAAACGCATTTCTAAGTTCAGTCATTCAGTACCTTCAAAACCACATATAAGCACAAGAGAACTGATTGAAACAATGGAAATTCATAAAAAGGATGATAAAACCATTTCAATAGAGTTTGCGGGAAAGAAAACTATAGACAAGCATTTTAAAACTTATGGAAATACTTTGCCTTTTGCTCAGGAAATTACTTATCTTGGGATGATCTTCACAAATTCCCACGCATGGTACGGAAAGATACAGGCTATTATTCAGAAGTTTTGGGTACGTAAAGCTAAACTCTACCCTTTAATTGCTCGAACAGCATTCTATCTATAGATTGTCCACTCTGAGTTTACTCTTGTCGAACAAACAGAAAACAGTTACAAACTTCAAATTGCCAACGCACCTTGGTATATGAGAAACAATGTTATCCATGAAGAATTGAATATTGTACAACCGATTTTTTTCTATTAGCACTTGGCCAGAAAATTCCATGTTCAAAGGAGAAGTATCAGAATCGACAACTATAATCACAATAGTATGAACAGCACAAAAAGAGCCCAAAGGTAATTTTAAACCCCCGCATTGTGACTGAAAAATAACGGATTACGTGTTGTTTGTGTAAGTATTATAAATTTCAACCAGAACTTTCCTACTTAATTAGTTGGTTATTATTCTCCAAAGTCTGACTGCACATATTCAAACTCAAAATGAAGCAGCATTGGTCAGAGCCAGACTTGGGAGTGTGGCCTCTCACGTCCCCTGTGTCTTACAACTTACTACTAATTTCTTACAACTTACGAATTTCTTACGACTTATTACTACGGTATATACCCGCGTATAAGTCGAGATATTTTGGACAAAAAAAAGGACTTCAAAGTGGGGGTCGACTCATACGCGGGGTCATAAAAATTAACAGAATCGGAAGTTTAAAAATTTCTTTATATAATGCAGTTGTTTTCTTCCCGCACTCAAATTGGACGACTTATCAAATAAGTCACTTAGTTGAAGTAATTTCATGACTTAAATTATGTGACGAACTAATCACAGAGTTTCATACTTTAATTAGAGTAAGTTTCGATTAAACCAAAGAATTTTAGTATACGATTCTTTTCGTGGACACTTTTCTGAAGAAGTGACAAAAGTGACAAAACACCTAAAAACGACTGTGGCCGTAATTCCAGGAGGATTGACATCCGTCATTCAACCCCTAGATGTCTGCCTTAATAAGCCCTTCAAAGTAAATGTTAGAAAATATTGGGCAGAGTGGATTAGTTCCGGTCGACCAACATTTACAAAGGGAGGCAACATTAAAAAGCCCGATATTACATTAATTGCTCAGTGGGTTAAAGATGCTTGGAACGAAATACCCTCTGAAATGATTATAAAATCATTTAAAAAATGTTGTATTAGCAACGAACTAGACGGCACGGAAGATGATACTGTTTTTTGAAAGTGAAAATGACGACGAAGGCTCTAGTAGTGATTGTAACAATACAGAGTTCGAGACTGAAAATATGTATGATGACGAGCCAATGACGACAGAAGAGTTCTATGAAATGTTTGGCGAATCTGACCATGAATCGGACGTTGAAGGATTTTGATTTTGTTTATTTACCAAGGTATTTTTTATCGTATATTTACTTTTTTTTTCTCAGATGATTTTGAATAAATGTAGTACTTAAGAAAAATTTTTCGAAGTTTCTCGATCGAATTCGGAAGTGGGGGGTCGACGTATACGCGGTATCGACTTATACTCGGGTATATACGGTAATTTCTCCAGCTTATACTGCTTTCCTGAGACTTTGTACATATGTAAATAGTGATTATCTAATCAAGAACTTGATTGTATGTTTACTTATTTTGCATTTAACCTTATATTTTCTCCAGTATTTTGTATTTTATCATATTTTCAGCACAATGAACTGCACCAATCAGATGTCATCTCGTTGCTCACGTGACTTTGGTCACACACCCTTCACCACTTTAACTATCCTGAACCGTCCAGCTCATGCACCTCTTTACCTTCAGCGCTCCTAGTAGTAGTACCTATTTCATGACTGCCGGAACACAGCACGTAATTTTACGTGCTAATCGTGGCCTAAAGAGGAACTCGGATTATCGCTATGTCATCGAGCCGTCTCACAAGACAGAAAGCAATACATCATAACGTAAACCGGTAAAGTTCAATCTGGTGAAGTCGGTCAGTGGAAGGCACTTCTTAAATTTTCTCGCTTTTAGCTGTGCCCGTTAGTACAGCCGGCAAATCGATATCACGTCAAACTGAAAGACGTCTAGAGTGCGATTCCAGACAAACCCATGAATAAATTTTCTGGACTTCTAAATACTTTATCTTTTTGTAATTTTCTACATTCTATTAGTGCCGCATATTTACTGCAAGATTTAATTTAATGTTTTCACGGATATGAACGTGTCGTTGGCCCCCATCGCGAACGCAGATTAGAAATGGGACATGTGTTATATATATATAACATATACTAAGTAGTATATCTTTAGATTTGACAAGCATTCACTGTATTGCTATTTTATGTATGGAATGCTATTATAATTGCAAACTGCTGTTTCAAGATTTATGTAAATTACCGCCATAATAAGAACCGCAATAAATGCTTATTTTACTTTCATATACTCTTCCGAGGTTGTTTACTTCTTAGTAGAAGTCCGCCCGTATCGGCCGGATTTTAAGACTTTACATCTGATAGTTTTTCAGCCGGTATAGTGGTTAGTGACCCTGATTGTCGTAGCGATGGCCCGGGTTCGAATCCCTGAGAAGGCATGGCTGTAACTGTCCGTTCCTTCTCAGGAGGCAACGGTGGACCCTAACAGGTCCATAATGAAATGGCCACCATTTTCCATAATGAAATGGCCACCATTTTCCATAATGAAATGGCCACCATTTTCCATGATGAAATGGCCACCATTTTCCATAATGAAATGGCCACCATTTCCGGCCCTTGCAGTGGCGCAATGCTAATGGTATTAAATACACCGCTAAGCCATATTTAGAAAAAAAAAAGTAAAAAAATCTGATGTATACACCACATGACTTCCTTGTACTGACTATTAAATTATACGCATTTTTTATTGAATTTCATTTAAACTTATTGGATTGAATTAAATCTACCTCTTCGATGGCGCATAAACTACAATAAACGCACTCTTTAAAATTCACTGTATTTGTTTACCATAGCGAAACTCTGGCGCTAGGTTCACTTAACAGCGTTATATTTCGTTCATATTATAACTCAGAATGCACAAAATTTATATCATTTGAAGAATTGTCTAATCGTTGCCACATGTTTTATTCAAATACTATAATAAATCTAGAACGAATGTATAAAAGAAATTAAGCAAACAACAACAACAATAACAGAAGAAAGAGTTTTTCACAGACCGATTCAGTATTTCTCATTCAATTAATTCAATTCTCACTTCGCGACAAGGCAAAAATACATTAAAACTCAAGATGTCTCTATTGAAAATTACGAAATAAATATTAAGCACTTATTTCCTCGAATAAATTCCAGAATGGATTAAGCGTGATTTAATTCGTAATAATAAAGAAGGCGTTATTTTTGTTGTTGCGAAGCTTACTTTCTCTAGATTGGCAACAAATCTACTATTCTGCTGCTTCAAGTGTTCAAACATAATGGCAATCTATCGCAATGTTAAAAATTATTAGGCTTAGCCGCACTTAAACAACTTTTAAATTGTTGATAACTCTAAAAATATTGCAGACAGATTTACTAAAGGCATAAAAACCTTAACCGGAAGATAAAAACAACACAATTCAATCATTTTTAAAGCAAAAACAACTTACAAACATAGTTTAGTTTAGTTTAGTTTAGTGACGGAGGACGTGGGCACCATCCCTTTACCGTATGGTTAATTGGTAATAGCACCACGTCCACCCTTATCTAGAGACTAGTGGGACTATAGGTCATACATTACAGTACTTACGATATCGTACATTATAAATGAACCATACAATTTCCTACATATGCATGATACAGTATATAATCAAACAGGATTATTAAAGCATAATGCTGGCGCGTATACAGTTAAAATGCAAAAGGTTAAAATGCAAAAGTTAAGATGTAAAATACTAAGTATCGATTTCAGTTATATGACTAAATAATATTATATTATTCATGCATAAAAACCTTTAAAAAATAAATAAATAAATAAAATAAAAAAAATAAATAAAATTAAAAAAAAGGAAAAAAAATACAATATCCTACATATGCATGATACAGTATATAATCAAACAGGATTATTAAATCATAATGCTGGTGCTTATACAGCTAAAATGCAAAAGGTTAAAATGAAAAATACTAAGTATCAATTAATTATATAATTAAATATTATTATATTATTCATACATCCATAGATCTCATATTAAAGATTTAAAAATAAAAATAATAACAATAATAGCACCAAAGATCATCAACTTACAGCTATTCTTGAACATTATTATCAACATAATTT